TAACTTCATGACTTAGATCTATTTATGCTTATAAATTATTGGAAAATGCACGTAACAGTCGTTTACGCATTTTTTGTCATATCTCATGTGTTGTATGTGAATAATATTTCAACTGTGTCCAATTTACGTATTACTTTCTTTCAGTAAATTCAGAATTTGACAATTGCAGGCTGTGAAAATACAAACTTGATGTTGAAAATACAAACATTGATGTTGAAAATGCGAACATTGATGTTGAAATTGCGAAACATGAATTTTGGCGGAGATCTGACCCCATGCTATCCGCCAAAATTCAAGTTAGTAATGAAAATACACAAACGCTGATGTTGAAAATGCGAACATTGATGTTGAAAATACAAATATTAATGTTGAAAATTCGAACATGAATTTTGGCGGAGATTTGATGCCATAGACATTAGCTGCCATTGTTATTTAATATAAACATTAAAGAACCATCGTCTCTTTGCATGCATGTGCTCCGGAGCAAAATTTCCATTTTACAGTTACAACAATATCGCAATATAAGATGGGAGTTGTTTATACTTGTACGACCCATTATAGGTAGTATACGGTATCGAGTTATTTTTAATAAAATGTGTAAGCTAATTACTCGCTGGGGCACCTGTGCCCAAGCGAGTATAATTTTCGGCATGCATTTGCCACAGATCACGGATCAAGGATAGTGGATCTCCAATCGTCGATAGCCACAAAATAGAATATTAATGAGCCTAATTTTCCCCCCAATTATCCATACGGCTACTGCAAATATGACCCAAATTATCCATAAATAACCCTGCATTTTTAGGAAAATTCGGGAAAAATGAACAATTTTACAAGGAATTTCGACATGGAAACAGCAACCTTCGCAAATCGCAATAGTTTGGCTGCGCTGCTTTATATTTTGAGAAGAAAGCGATCTTTTGACTCTTTTCAACGATGTTTACGGTAAGTGAATGTGATTTAATTTCAAATACGCTCATCTCGCATGACTCGGCACATATTCGTGGTATATGCTCTAAAGACACAGAAGCTATAAACAAAGCAGATGAAGTACAAAACAATGGCTCAGGAGAAAAAACAAAAAATATTGCAAAATAGAAAAAGAAAATATGAAAAGTTAAATAAATCAAAGAAAGAAGAACAGCTTACCAAAAATATGAATTACAGAAAAACAATTAATAAAGGACAAAAGCAAAAAATACTAGAGAATAAAAGAATGAAATATGAAGCAATGGATCAATCAAAGAAAGAGGAACTGCTTACTAAAAATATGAATTATAAAGAAACAATGAGTAAAGAACAAAAGCGAAAAACACTGGAGAATAAAAGAGCTAAATATGAAGCAATGGATCAATCAAAGAAAGAGCAACTGCTTACTAAAAATATGAATTATAAGGAAACAATGAGCAAAGAACAAAAGCAAAAAATACTGGAGAATGAAAGAGCTAAATATGAAGCAATGGATCAATCAAAGAAATAGCAACTGCTTACTAAAAATATGAATTATAAAGAAACAATGAGTAAAGAACAAAAGCAAAAAAACACTGGAGGATAAAAGAGCCAAATATGAAGCAATGGATCAATCAAAGGAAAAGCGACTGCTTACTAAAAATATGAATTATAAGAAAACAGTGGGAGAAGAACAAAAACAGAAACTATTAGAGAACACGAGAGCCAAATATCAAGCAATGGATATATCAAAGAAAAAGGATTTGAGTGCTACGTGTGATGATTGCATGTTTAATTACTGACGTAACGCATGATTGTAACGCATGATTACTCATGTATACGAATAAAACGGACAGCATAATCTAATGTTTATCGAAGGACATATCGCATAAGGCCACATCGAAGGACATATCGCATAAGGCCATATCGAAGGACATATATTAAACGGGGTTACTACATTTATCTTGGAGTTATATTACTTACGCTAAGTTTATCTTATTCAAGGAGACGGTCGTAGTAAAGATGTAAGTGTTTTCTTGTATAATGTGTTGTAAATTGTTCGCAGTCGCTCATTTCGTAATCGTAATTTATATTGTTGTGTAATTGTCTTTAGTTTTCACCGACTGGCCGAATAAATATTCGTATAATCGTCTAGTTTGGTTGACACTGCGTCCTTCAACTCGGAGGCACGACACTACGCGTTCTAGCAAAATCATGTCAAATCGCATTTCGTTGGATCCAAAACAAAGAAAACTAGAGGGCACTCAGAGACTGCATACCTCCGCCCACATTAAATTTCGGTCGTGTGAAATGCAACTAAGACAATAAATAATTAGGGCTGAAGCTTAATGAGGTTTATCATCTCATTGTCTTCTTAGTACTGCCTGCATACATTATACACGTCCTAATTACGCATTCAGTGAGTTTTTTTTAATTGACCGGGAAAAGCAAGACAAAATTTTGTTCATTTCTCGTTCAATTTTTAACCAAATTCAACCAAATTTTAATCAGTTCTTCCTTAGCCGATGGGAAATGCACTCAAAAAATTTCGTATGAATATGTTTGGTATTTCCTGAGTTATTGTGCTCACAGACAAACACACACACACACACACACACACACACACACACACACACACACACACACACACACACACACACACACACACACACACACACACACACACACACACACACACACACACACACACACACACACACACATACAAACCCAGATGATTACATAACCTCCTGGCGGAGGTAATAATTTGCTGGATAGAGAGAACGAAAAACGGATGGAAAAGAAATCTCTAACTCATGACATTGACATGTACATTGAAACATTTAAAAAACAAATTATATCAGGCCCATTTTACATATGCTGTGTGTGTAACCAAACACTATATAAAAAGTCAGTAGTAATCCTACAGAAAAATAAATATTCTCGCCAGGATTGTTTTATGCTTCAACGTTCTTTTGATGGCAAAAACTACATCTGCAGAACATGCCATGCTAAATTACTTAAAGATCAACAGCCTTGTCAGCTGTGGTAAACAATTTATTTGTTGATGAACCCCCACTGAACTTGCTGCATTAGAGAAACTTGAACAAATTCTCGTTGCCCAGAGAATAGTCTTTGAAAAAATTGTAATAATGCCAAAAGGACAACAAAGAAAAATTAAAGGTGCAATATGTAATGTACCAGTTGAATGTAGTCAAAAATGCAATGTTCTTCCCAGACCACCTGACAGATCTGGGATAATTTTACTTAAATTAAAAAGGAAACTTCAATTTAGAGGTCATGTTTACTTCCAAGCAGTTCGCCCTCAGTTTGTAATTAGTGCATTAAACTGGCTTGTAGCAAACAACCCTTTATATAGAAACGTTGAAATTCATTGTGACAATATTAGCTCAGACTTAACTAATTTGAACTGTCCTGATACTGATCAAGAAAATATAGATGAGCCATTACAATTGCAAATTAATGTAAATAGAGAACTGTGTAATGAAGATGTTGAAGAACAAGATGATCCATTAAATGAACACCGTTCAGCAGCAAGCGAAACCTGTCTTCAGTCCATCTTGCCAAATTATCCTGTTAACCTGGACAATACAAACTGTAATTCAACAGGTAGAGAAGTTTTCAACATTGCACCAGGTGAAGGTAAACACCCAGTATCATTGATGACTGATAAGCTTTGTGAGGAACTCTCATTTCCAGTACTCTTTCCAAAGGGACGATTTGGTTATACCTCTGAACGAGACATAAAATTATCTCCAATAAAATATTTCAATGCTCGCCTCTTGCATTATAGTGGAAAATTTTCAAC